CATATTAAACTAGAATTCCTCCTTCGGCTCCTGACTTCTGATCTACTTTGCTTTCTCTTTGGCCAGCTCATCCTCTCGCCGTTGTATATCTCAGTGCTCCAGTGTCCAGATTCTTCACATGAGGGGTTTTTGGAATGACCTGATTTGCCAGCAAATAAAAAGACTTCTGCAAAAGATCAGAGAGCGCCACGCACACACAATACACTGTGATTCTGCCAGTTTGTAAAGAGAAGAAGTCACTCCGTCATGTGGACTTATGCTGTCAGCTTATCAGTAACTAACATGGGAGCTTTTGGCATACCCGGTTCAATTAATTGGGTCAGCATTTTAACGGCCTCGTATTTGACTTCCATCTGAAACTATCCAGATCCCGCAGTTGAAGCAACTTGGCCCAGGTGGAAGGAGTCCTGACCTTTCAAGAGCTCGGCTCTTTTGTTGAGTCGATTTGGAATATCAGCATTTAAGGATGCATGAGCAACCAACCAAGACTCCGCAGAGGAGGAAGAAAGGCTAAAATGATAACTCACTTTTTTGTTTTCCGCAAGCACATCGGCGTTCTCCCTGTGCTGTGATGTTCCCATCGTCTGTTTGCTCTGGCACTCTTTCGATGGCTTCTTCATTGTTGCTTATAAATATTATTCATTATTCTTTACAAGCTAGAGGCCTGCATGGAATCAGGGAAGAGGAACAGGTCAGGTCCCAGATGTAAAATTTTTCTTCTTGTTTTTATCCTTCCCTCTTCTCCAAGACCAGGAACGACAGATCTGGTTTTCTCCTCCTCGGTTTTGTCCTCTAGTGAGGCCAGCCTCCAGGTGTGAGCCGACGTGATCCTGGGGTTGCAACTGGTCTCCAGACTACAGAGCTCAGTTCTCCTGGAACCAATGGCGGATTCGGAGAGTGGACTCCCTAAAATCACATCCCCACTGACATGGCTATTATTTATTTATTTATTTATTTATTTATTTATTTATTTATTCGACTTTTACCCCACGATGGCTTCTTCATTGTTGCTTATAAATATTATTCATTATTCTTTACAAGCTAGAGGCCTGCATGGAATCAGGGAAGAGGAACAGGTCAGGTCCCAGATGTAAAATTTTTCTTCTTGTTTTTATCCTTCCCTCTTCTCCAAGACCAGGAACGACAGATCTGGTTTTCTCCTCCTCGGTTTTGTCCTCTAGTGAGGCCAGCCTCCAGGTGTGAGCCGACATGCTCCTGGGGTTGCAACTGGTCTCCAGACTACAGAGCTCAGTTCTCCTGGGACCAATGGCGGATTCGGAGAGTGGACTCCCTACAATCACATCCCCACTGACATGGCTACTATCACATACCGACGATTTTGTCACCCTTTCAGGGGCAAAATGTATAGGGGCAATAATTAAATACCAGGGAAATGATGCTAAGTAAGGTCTTTTTATTTTTTCTATTCTAATTTCTGCTTAAGGCAATAGCTGTACAAACACTGATTAGATGATGATGATGATAGATGATAGATAGATAGATAGATAGATAGATAGATAGATAGATAGATAGATAGATAGATAGATGAAAGATAGATAGATAGATGATAGATAGATAGATAGATAGATAGATGATAGATAGATAGATAGATAGATAGATAGATAGATAGATAGATAGATAGATAGATAGATAGATAGATGATAGATAGATGATAGATAGATGATAGATAGATGATAGATAGATGATAGATAGATAGATAGATGATAGATAGATAGATAGATAGATAGATAGATAGATAGATGATAGATAGATGATAGATAGATGATAACTCTGTCTTCTTGGTGCTTGGGGGGGGGTGTCAACAGTGGGAGGGGCTTCTAATGTCCTGGCCCCACTGCTGGACCTCCTGATGGCACCTGGTATTTCTGGCCACTGTGTGACACAGAGTGTTGGACTGGATGGGCCTTTGGCCTGATCCAACATTGGCGTCTCTGATGTTCTTGTGTTCTTAACTCTGCGAGGTCTGCAGATCATTGGCTGCACACATCGGCTTCTGGGGACTATTCAGGATTCATGGAGGTGCCTTACCCATCAAAGGCCATTTCATGTATCTGATAGTAAAGGTAGAGGTTCCCTTGCTCGAAAGCCAGTCGAGTCCGACTCTAGGGTTGCGGTGCTCATCTCCGCACTGCAGCTGCCAAGGTACATCTTGACCTTTTAATATTACATAGGAGAATAATCAGGGGTCATTTCGTAGAAAAAGAGGTGCAGAAGCTCATTAGCAAAACTTATTTGCATATGCCACACCCCCTAACATCACCGGAAGTGTGTCAGAAGGCAACACCCACCGCTCAGGCTCCACTGGACTGTTCTGGATTGCTAGATGTTGGGGAGGGATGTGCAGATCTGTCCTCGCAGAGGAGGGAGAGAGCTTGTACCTGAATAAAACTTGGTTTTAAAGATGCCACTGGACTGTTTTGGGCTGGGGGGGGGAGCTCTGCAGCTTACCTGGCTGCTTCTTGCTCTGACTGAGGGCTGCTGGGAGCTGGGGGTGGGGCTTGTTGCATGTGCCCACCCCCTGGGCTCTTTACTGCCGGAGCTCCACTCCTGTGCACTCCTGCAGGAAATGACCCCTGAGAATAATCATGGTTTTTTTTACATGCTGAGCAGTGTAACCAATTGTTAATCAATGGGAGCCAGGCAATTACTGAATCTGTGGCGAAATTCTGGGTGGCCTGATAATATATTTGAAACACATGATCAAATACTAGATCCCTAGTAGCCTCTGATTTATGTTCTTCTTTCTTATTTTATTACGTACGACTGTGTTTTTACATAGTTTTAATTTTTATATTTTTATATCTATACTGTTTAAACTCAGTTATATGAATGTTTCATCTAAGTATGTGCGTCTTATGGCTTGTTGTAGTAATAATAAACGAACCGAATCTTCTTCCATTCGGTCTTCCCACCTCAGACCCTCACTAGTCTTTGTCCAAGCATTGAAAATCTGCAGAGAACCCCAGAACAAAAGTCCAAGGGGCTCTGTGCACTGCAGTATGAGAGAGAAGCAAGGGAACCCCCCAATGCTCTGTCTTCTTGGTGCTTGGGGGGGGGTGTCAACAGTGGGAGGGGCTTCTAATGTCCTGGCCCCACTGCTGGACCTCCTGATGGCACCTGGTATTTCTGGCCACTGTGTGACACAGAGTGTTGGACTGGATGGGCCTTTGGCCTGATCCAACATTGGCGTCTCTGATGTTCTTGTGTTCTTAACTCTGCGAGGTCTGCAGATCATTGGCTGCACACATTGGCTTCTGGGGACTATTCAGGATTCATGGAGGTGCCTTACCCATCAAAGGCCATTTCATGTATCTGATAGTAAAGGTAAAGGTTCCCTAGCTCGAAAGCCAGTCGAGTCCGACTCTAGGGTTGCGGTGCTCATCTCCGTTTCAAAGCCGAAGAGCCAGCGCCGTCCGAAGACGTTTCCGTGGTCATGTGGCCGGCATGACTAAACACCAAGGCGCATGGAACGCTGTGACCTTCCCACCAAAGTGGTACCTATTTATCTACTTGCAATTTCTTGCTTTCGAACTGCTAGGTTGGCAGGAGCTGGAACTAGAGATGGGAGCTCACTCCGTCATGCGGCAACTCGGGTCTCGAACTGCTGAACTACTGACCTTCCACAGTTCAGCGTCTTAACCACTTGAGCCACCGCAGCTCCATGTATCTGATACACAGCAGCTATCCCAGACTATCACTGAACATACGCTTGAGAGAATGCAGCCAAACATGCTGTCCTGTATGAGACCCACCTTGGCATTCAATGATATCTATGCTGAAAACATCATTATTTGTTAGGGTTGCCAAACTCAGGTTGGGAAAGTCCTGGCAATTGAATTGGGGGTGGGGTGCGGGGGAAGTTGGGGTTTGGGGGAGGGGAGGGACCTCGGTGGAGTATAATGGCCATAGCAGCCATTTTCCTCCAGCGGTACTGATCTCTGCCATCTAGAGATCAGTTTCAATTCTAGGAGATCTTCAAGCCCTACCTGGACGGTGGCAACCCTATTAAATGTGCTAAACAGCTCTAAATCACACCTGTTCTTCTCCTGTCTCCGACGCCTGCTGGTAGAGCTACTGGGCAGATGTAGTTGGCCTCAGCCCTAGTACTTCGAGGTCTTTGATGCTAGCTGCCACCGAGAATCCAAGAGCAGCATTTCACGATCCCCAGTTTGCAGTCCAGACATTCTCCTCCATGCAAATCCCCATTTATGCTGTGAACCAGCCATCCTGGTTGCCTTGATCTGTAGCATAAGGCATTCAGGAATTTAAGGAGACCCAGAGTATACTTTTCCACCCCTCTGTGGCCCATTGACAGTTCAAGTCTGTGGTGCTCTCCAGACCGGAGACACGGAGGAGGAAAAGCCTTGTAGACCTCGTCGCCAGTGTTCCCTCTCAGCTGAGTTAGCGTGAGCTAGCTCACGTGTTTTTAGCCTCCGGCTCACACAGTTTTGCCTCAGCTCAGGAAGGATGGGCTCCAAAGCAAACTGATGTATGCAGCAGCTCAGAACTTTAATGCCGGTAGCTCACAAAGTAGAATTTTTGCACACTAGACTCCACAGCTTAGAGGGAGCATTGCTCATCGCCCTTGGACTGGCTCTTCTTCAGCTGAAGCTACAGTCCAAAGAACATTTCCGTTCAAGTGGTATTGGTAGGCCTTATTGTATAGTCCCCGGAACATTAGTATAATCTCTTGCATTTCTTTTGTTTCAATCAGCTTTTAACCTTTGCCCTCGCTGCATTCTCATTACAATTAAAGTATGGAAGGACCATTGTTTGGTGGTCTCTCTCTCTTTCTCCCCCTCTCTCTCTGCTAAACTAGCTATCTGTCTGTTGCTACCTTAAAATCCCAGCAAAACACACATCTGGCAACTGCCCTTTTCCCCCCTTCATGTTTCCACTGGTTTTCAGACTTCCTCTTGCGGTGGTTTGGAGACTGCGCATCTGGATGTTTGAAACATACAAAGGAATTGCTAGGGCTAGCAAAAGGCGGAGGAGAGCCACGGGGGAAAGTTACGATGTGCTGATAAGCCAGCGGTGGGGACATTGCGACTCCAGAGACGGAGCGGAGCAAAGCTCTTCTTTCTACAAAAGGGGCTGCAGGGAACCTTTAAGACTTTAAGGAGAATGGAGATCCATATTCGCTTGAGCCTCGCAGGCTGCATTTTTAAGATCCTCTTCGTCCAGCTCTCCCTCTTCCGACCCAGTACAGCTCCTCCGCCACCCACCCTCAGACAACCAGAATCCAGCAGAGATCTGGTCCCGGCCCCCATCATCCGCTTCCCCGGGGATATTTCTCCCAAATCAGATAAAGAACTGGCACTGGTAAGTTTTGTTTCCTTTAAGAAGTTTTCCTCCTCTGTTGGGATGTCTCTTCTGCAAGGTCTGTCTTGCTAAACCACCAGATGTGGGGGAAAGCAGTGTGACTTCTGTCTCCAGGGATCCTGGATGGAAATGTGTCTGGCAAGCCAAACGCCTTTCCAGTGTTAAAGCCAGCTCTGCTTCCTCTCGCCAAAACTTGGGAAGCCAGTCCAGAAAGTGGTACTTTTCGCCCGGCTCCTATGCAAACAATTTCATGAAACTGCTGAGGCTTTAATGGGAAGAGAAAGGATAAACATTTGTCATAGCATGGGGGATAAATATTGCCGCTAATAAAGCTCCAGCGTCTTTAACCAAGATATCATTTCCCTATTGCTCACAAAGCATTGTTTAAGTATAGCTCGAAGGAGCAATTACAGCTTAAAGTTGTCTTGATTTTCTCAGAATATATAATGACTAGTCTGAACACTGGAACGGCGTGCACAAATAATACCCCTGAAAGCCGCAGCTGAGCAGCATACTGCAACCCGATCCGAAGCATTATGCAAAGGGTTTGGATGAATTCAACATATTACTTTTTCATAGCTGGCTGAAGGTATCCCTCCTTGGTCTGCCATGACCAGGAACTTACAGAAATGGGACTGTAAAAAAAAACATAAATCTTTTTTTTTTTGAAGTTTGGAAATGAAAAAAGGTTTATTTTTCAATGGTAATGCTGTCGAAAAAGTGATGGTGGGGGAATGACTTATTATCTGGAGATATACCCGAGTTTGCCCTCAAGAGGACTGCACCCAACCCTGGCTTCTTAGCAAGCACGGTCCACTGGTTATTTTGCTACATTCACATGTTCTGCTTTGAGATGTGAAAATATCTTCCATCTTCAAAAAAATAACATGTCAAAAGATATTGAGATGGGCCTGCAGCCCGAGGGTGGACTGGTTATTTCTAATCGGTTTTTGAAATTAAGCCCACCTATATCTTGTGGTTGGTCGTTGGCCTTGGTTTCCCCCTCAGGGCTGCCAGATCACAATGATTCAGAAACGGGGGGGAGGGGGACCACAACTGGCAGGATTCCCACATCAGAGTCTAGACTGTCAACCTGGCAACCATTTCCTGTAGTCACCCTGTCTCTTGCGAACCAGAAGGGTTAAGCTGACCATATATATTATAAAAATACAAAATTTATTAGGGTGTACACATATTCCTCAGTGGTCACTATACAACATAGTATAGACACACATTCAAACATATGTATACAGGTTCTTTAGTACACTTATTTAAAGACCAGATGTTGTATCCTTATATGTTTGCAATTGTGTTGCTGGTATTAATGATGGGCCATAGGTATGGCCATATTCATTCCAATTATTCTGGTACTGAGATTTCAAAAGTCTGAATGTGTGTCATTCCATCAAGGTAAGGCCCATCATTTTGTCTCTACTATGTTGTATAGTGACCACTGAGGAATATGTGTACACCCTAATAATTTTTGTATTTTTATAATATATATGGTCAGCTTAACCCTTCTGGTTCGCAATGTTATCTTGGGTTGAGTTTTTCCCTCCCCCCCCTTTTTCCAGTTTTTGTCACCCTGTCTCTTGACAGCATTCCCAGTGCTCAGGTCTCTTCCCTCAGCACAAAACCCCTCCTGACCTTAAACATGGCACAGTCTCTTGCAGTCTTCCTCTTTGACCCACCCCCTTCTGGCTTCATGCTCTGTCCTCTCTGTCATTCAGCCATGTAATCTATCATCCATTCTCAGTTACGCTATGTTGGACTTCCAATTTGAAGTTCTCAGTTCTCCATTGCCTGTTCCTTACCTCAGCTTCCTTACATCTGAGGACATCCTTCCCAGCCCTCACCCTGCCCCATGTGATGTTATGAAGACCCCAGCCAAACTAACAACATTCCCTCACAGCAGCTGGACTGCAAACTACTAGGCAGACACCAAAGCAAGGTCTGAAATGACGAAGAAAGGAAAGTTAGCAACCAAAGCTGTTGCATAGTCACACACCTCTGTAGGTTGTGCTTGGGACAAAAAAAAGAAAATCTCAACTCCAAGTATAGGCTACTGGGGACTGAACCTGCTGAGACAAAGAGGGGGAAAGATCTTGGGGTCGTGGTGGATAGCTCAATGGAAGTGCCAACCTAGCATGCTGCAGCCATGAAAAGTTCAACCTCTATGACCGATTTCTCACAAGCCGCTGCTCCGCCCTCGCGTTTCCCTTTGCCCCGATCACATTAGTCAATTTCCCACTACTCAGTGCACGGCCACATTTTGTCCCGCAGCTTCATCCGATTTCCCCCGTGTCTACTCGATCCTCAAAAAGCAGGATCGAGTAGACACGGGGGATATCGGGAGATGCTGCGGGGCAAAATGCGGCCACGCAGCAAGTAGTGGGGAATTGACTAAAGTGATTGGGGCAAAGGGAAACGCAAGGGTGGAGCAGCGCCTTGTGAGAAATTGGTACCTGTTAGGGATTCGTAGGAAAGGGATTGAGAATAAAATGGCCAATATTATAATGCCCCCGAATAGATCTATGGTGCGCCTCATTTGGAACACTGTGTATGGTTCTGGCCACCATATCTCAAAAAGGACATTGTAGGATTAGGAAAAGTATAAAGGTAAAGGTCTCCCTTTCTCGAAAGCCAGTCGAATCTGACTCTAGGGTTGCAGGGCTCATCTCTGTTTCAAAGCCGAAGAGCCAGCGCTGTCCGAAGACGTTTCCGTGGTCATGTGGCCGGCATGACTAAACACCAAGGTGCATGGAACGCTGTTACCTTCCCACCAAAGTGGTAAGTAAAGGTAAAGGTTCCCTTGCTCGAAAGCCAGTCGAATCCGACTCTAGGGTTGTGGTGCTCATCTCCGTTTCCAAGCCGAAGAGCCAGCGCTGTCCGAAGACGTTCCCGTGGTCATGTGGCTGGCATGACTAAACACCAAGGTGCACGGAACACTGTTACCTTCCCACCGAAGTGGTCCCTATTTATCTACTTGCAATTTATTGCTTTCGAACTGCTAGGTTGGCAGGAGCTGGAACTATAGACGGGAGCTCACTCCGTCATGCAGCGCACTCGGGTCTCGAACTACTGAACTACCGACCTTCCACAGCCTGCAGTTCAGCGTCTTAACCACTTGAGCCACTGCAAGGCTCCTATTGTAGGATTAGGAAAAGTATAAAAGAGTGCAATCAAGATGGTTAGAGGGTTGGAGCACCTTCTCTGTAAGGAAAGGCTGAAGAGTTTGGGACTTCTCAGTTTAAAAAAAAAAAGACTAAGGGATGATAGGGATTTATACAATTGTGCATGCGGTGGAGAGGGCTGACAAAGAGAACTTTTTCTCCCTATCCCAAAATGCTAGAACTCGAGGGCATCCAATGAAGCTGATGGGCAGTAGATGCAGGAAGGACAAAATGAAATACTTCTTTACACAGAGAGTGATTAAAATGTGGGATTTGTTCCCAGAGGATATAGTGATGGCCATAGGACGAAACAGCTTTTAAAGGGGATTAGATAGATTCATGGAGGATGAGTCTATCAATGGCTACTCACCATGGTGACTGAGGGGAACTTCCACATTCAGAGGCACAAAGCCTCTGAATCCCAGAGCCAGGAGGCAACGTCAGGGGAAGGCCTCGGCCTCCACGCCCTGTTATTGGCTCTCCAGAGGAACTGCTTGGCTACTGTGAGACGGGATGCTGGGCTAGATGGACCACTGGTCTGATCCAACAGGGCTCTTCTGATGTTTTTTTAACGTTTTTATGAGTTGGGTACAGGATATGAGGAGATGGTTAATGTTGTCATGAGTTGGGTACAGGATATGAGGAGATGGGAGATGCTCAGTTCATGTGTGACGGTGACTGTCAAAAATGCTATGCTTGCCTGATGAACATGTTCAGCATGATGCTCTCAGCATTCTTACTGAGGTCCACTGCAGGCCAATGCTGTCCCTGTGAAAGTATCTTTCAGAGGAGGCAAAGAGTGTATTCCCCACCTTGACAAGCGTTCAGAAGCTCTACAAAATAATACTGTTCAGAGGAGTTTAATGGAGGTCAAATTGAGCTATGGGCTCCTTGGCTACAGATTTACTCTTTTGTTTTTAATTAATCGAGCGCTATGCTTACTATACCATACACTGCTTGGTAAGATTATTTGGGAAGGGAAGGTGGCATGGTACAGCCCAATCTCATCAGATCTTGGAAGCTAAGTGAGGTCAGTACTTGGATGGAAGACCACCAAGGAAGAGAAGGCCATAGCAAGCTATCTCTGCTTCTCACCTGCCTTGGAAGTCCCTTGCTTGAGTCACCGTAAGTCAGTTTCAACATGGCAGCACTTACCTTCATAAGATGGTCTTATTCTCCTTGAATGGGAGGAAAGCCAAGCTCTAAATATTCCATCATATTCTTTGGAAAGCTGGGTTTTCCAAGAAATTCCCTGGGATTCCTTTATCTTGTTCGGTCACCTGCAAAGGTGCTTTGCTTGATCGTCTACAGCCAATTTCTACTCAGTGCAGCGGATAAGGTTTATTTATTTATGTATGTATTTATTGTACAAGTCTTGTTTGGAGCTGGTCGGGAGGTGACTGTGTTGTCTTCTTTCTCCAAGCAATACCTGAACAAATATTACGGATGCCCGAAAGACAACTGCAATTTGTTTGTGCTGAAAGACACTTTGAAGAAAATGCAGAAGTTCTTTGGGCTGCCCGAAACCGGGGAACTGGATCAGAACACAGTAGAAACCATGAAGAAGCCTCGATGTGGAAATCCAGACGTGGCCAATTATAATTTCTTCCCAAGGAAACCAAAATGGGAAAAGAATCTGGTAACGTACAGGTAAGTGTCGGGAAATGTCTCCGGTGTAAACTGATGTTCTCAAGTTGCAGGGCTGTAACTATATCGTTGTGATGGAGATATTGAGCAAACTGGTCATCATTTCGGGGTGATTCTTCAACCTCAAATATATCTTCTCTCTCTCTCTCTCTCTCTTTCTCTCTCAAAAAGCTTTATTGAAATTGATAAACACAGAGGTCATTTCGGGGGGGAACGCGGGGGATCGCAGTTCCCCTGGGTGAGGTGCAGGGGGCGGGGCACATGATGAAGCCCCGCCCCCTGCTTCCGGCCGCCCCGCTTCCGGCCCTCATTCAGCCAGGAGGAGGAAGGAGAAGAGGGAGGGTAAGTTGCTTCCTCCCCGCCTCTCCCCACCCCTGCCTGCCTGGGACCAGGGAGGGCCTTGGCGGGGCTTCCTCGCACTCCCGCTGGCCTTGCAGGTCCACCGCCGGGCCCCTGATGTCAGGGGGTGTGGCATATGCTAATGAGTTATGCTAATGAGTTCCCCTAGCTCTTTTTCTATGAAATGACCCCTGGATAACCATATACAAGCTTAACACAGAAGTGATAACAACAATTGGTTACAAATAAACAATTGTAACAGTAATATATCCCAAAAAATAAAGTACTTTGAGGGAGGGAGGATGTAACATGTATATATTTTGAACTAACAAAGGTCAATCAAACTAATACACAACATTAATAGTTTCAAGAATAGGTCCAAATTCCTTTTGAGAAGCAAAGTACTCAAGAACTGGAAACCAAGTTTTAACAAAGTTCGAGGTATAGGGGTCAGATTCACCTGGTAACATGGAGTCTGCTAATTTGTCCATTCTACAAGTTCCTGGACTTTCAAAAACCAATTGGATATGGAAGGTCTTTTGTCACCTTTCCAAAACCTAGCGATGACTGTGCGAGCTGCTGCACAAAATATTTCTATTAGACCAGAATTATAGGTGGGACTGTACAATTATAAGAAATGTTTGGAAATCAGTAGTAAAACAAATTTATGTGCGAACTAAATTTGAGGTCCCGTTTGAAATGGAATCTTTAGCATTAAACTATTGACCACCTCAAATATATCTTAAAGGTGGTTGAAAATAACTGGTCCAAGCTCACCCAGTAAGCTACACTGCAGAGATGGGGTCTGAACTCAGAATTTCCAGATTCTAGCCAACTCATTAGAGTATTACATTTTTTCTGAACATAATTTGGTGATTGCCACCAGTTCAACAGGTCACTTTCAGCTTCAACAACTGCAGAAAAGGCCATAGTTCAACAGCTGGTGCTGCTCTGGGATGTGGAGGATCAGTGGTTGGAACAGGTGAATCTGTTGAATTGTTGACTTTCATTCAGAAAGCCAAGTAAGAACAAAAAGTGATGATCCATTAGCCTGGGAGGGTGCAAATATGGCCTCCAAACATCTCACCACCTTTATTTCAAACATATAGATCAAAGAGGAGAAAGGAAAGAATGGGATAATTAGCATTGCAATAATACAACTGTCCACATTATGTTACCTTAAAGTAATTCTTCCAAAAGTCAGTATGGTGGGCCAGTTTTAGTATTCCCCATTTTGCAACTGTGGGACTGAGAAAATGATTTGTTGGAGGCCACCTAATGTGTACATATCAATCATGATCTTCAAAAGGGCATATCTTAGTCAATATGCTATAACAGTTGATAGATCTGAGGCCTCGTAGCACAATCTATCAGTGGCTACTAGCCATGGTGTCTATCAGTGGCTACTAGCCCTGGTGACTGAGGGAAACCTCCACATTCAGAGGCACTAACCCTCTGAATCCCAGAGCCAGGAGGCAACATGGGGGAAGGCCTTGGCCTAGGGTTGCCAAACTCCCCGGTTTGCCAGGGGTCCCCTGTTTTTTGGGGGGGGGTTCTACCCCCCGCCGGCCAGATGGCCGGCGGGGGGAGCCCCACCCCCAACACCCACAGCCACCCATCTCTCTCCCTTTGTGGTTGCAGGCTGCTTAAAGCCTTGAGGGAGCCTGCCTCAGCAGTAATTCCTTAGTGATCCTGCCGGCCCTGCCTCCACAGTGGCTTCTAATATTCCTCCCCCCTCCCCATCCTACACTGGACAGGCAGCTGCCTGTCAGGTGTAGGAGAGGAGGTGGGATGCTTACAGCAACCTGGGAGGTTTGCTCGGCAGGATTGCCTTAGCACTGCTGCTGGCCCAGCCTCCCCAATGCCTTTAAATACAATCCCCCCCCCAACCATGCACCTGTCCGCCTTACACACTCTCTTCTTTTAAAAAGTGAAGTATCTCTTATTCTCATCTCCATTTAAGGCCAATGGGCCAGTCATAACCTCTGACTCTCTGATTCCTGAAGGAATTCCAAATATCCACTGTCTTCTCATATCTTCGAAGGAATATCTAGTAATCTACCATGACCATCAACACACAAGGGGAAACAATCCAAATGATTCTTTAACCAGTTATTTCAAAATGATCTACATTGATAACCTTTTTAGGGGTCCTTGGAGGGCCTTCTAAACACACACCAATGATAAACTGTTGACCTAGAGAAGGAAATTCTTCCTCGTGAATTTGGTACTGCATGAGGAAGTGGTCTTTTCATTGTTTTGTCATATCCTCTACAAAGTTGAAAAGTACCTCACATACAGGTTACTATTTATTCTTTTATGTAGTCCCAATAGCTGGTTCATTTGCTCCCAGGATATGTCTCTTCCACTAGATTTAAACAATCAATATGCCACAAGGGCCCCGGTCACACGGGCCGTATATCGCAGGGAGGGAGGCGTGGCTAAGTGCCCCGGCGCAGTTTGATGCACGATTACTCAATCAGATGCGCCAGCGGCACACCATGGGTCCCTCCCTCGGCGCCGGCAGGTAAATGAGGGACCAGAGGGGAATGCCGCGCTCCAGCGCAATCACACCACGGGCATCTGGAGGCAGCCCATGGTAAACGTTTACTAGTACCTTGGAGGTACTAGTTTTTAAATGCGCATTGTCGGCGGTATGCCACGGGTGCACTCCACTTCCCAGATGTTGGGGTGTGATCGCGCCCGGATAATCCGCCCACCATCCGTGCCTCTCCCGCAGCAACTTTGCCGTTTGACCGGGGCCTTAGTTTAGTATTGCACTGTCAGTCTGTGAATGCAATATGAGCACTGGATGGGACTGTAGGGTTGCCAGCTCTGAACTGGGAAATTCCTGGAGATTTGGGGGTAGAGCCTAGAGAGGGTGGTGTGTGGGGACCGGAGGAACCTCAGTGGGGTAGAATGCCATAAAGTCCACCTCCCAAAGCAGCCATTCCCTCCAGGGGGACAAATTGCTGTAACCTGGAGACCCGTTGTAATTCCAGGAGATCTCCAGCCACCACCTGCAGACTGGCAACCCTGTCCACCCTCTGAAGGGAACTGATCTCTGTAGTCTAAAGATCAGTTGCAATTCCAGGAGATCCCCAGGCCCCACCTGGAGGCTGGCAAGCCTAGTTCCCCAGATTAACATTCCAACATGAAGAGCACACAGCTGGAGAAATTCTGATGCTTCGTGTTCCATATGAAAGTTGCTGTTTCCTTGGCAAAGAAGGGATCGCCCCCGTTATTCCAGAACACCACGATTTCGGAGAGGATAATGGGTATTCCTTTCTTCAGTCAACGGCCACTCTGCAGAACTCGGTGGAACAAAACACCGCAGGCTCCACAGAGTCTCAGCCTCCCTCTTTTTGATCTGGCACTTCTAGCTGGGGAAGACATTAACCCCGCAGCAATGTTTTCGGCAACAAAACAGACCAGAAATTACAGAGCGAGCTGAGCAGGTCATTTTTGCAGAATGCACTTTGGGGTCTGTTAAAAGGGCGAGAGAAGCGGTACAGCAGGGCTTCTCTTTAATTGCTTCCATGTCTGCTTAAGCCCTGTGGCTCGGTGTTTAATGTCAGCATCTCTCTTCTCTCTTCCTGCACCTCCTGTGGGCAGCATCTGTGGCTGGAAGGCCCCAGGACACCAGGCCAGGAATGATGGCAGTCCTGCGCACACTTTCTTGGGAGCCACTGAACATTGTGGAACTCACTCCTGAGTAAAAGATGCATAGGATCAGGCTATATATATATATATTTAAAAGCTTTCATTTAAAAGGTGCAGTAGCTATTTCTGGATTTCAGAGAGCAATTTCTGGTTTATTTCCCCAACAGCAGGCACAAGGGTTGCCAGGCACTCTGGTCTGGTGGGGTTTACCCACTTTTGGGGGGGTTCCAACCCACCCCCAAGCCCAAACACCCGCAGCCACCCCTCCCCCTTCTCCCTTGAGAGAGGGGAGGGAGAGGGGCAGCGGCAAAAATTCCACTTTGTGAGCTACTGGCATTAAAGTTCTGAGCAAGTGATTTAGCTACTGCATCAATTAGTTTTCTCTGGAGCCATCCTTCGTGAGCTGGAGACAAAAATGTGTGAGCTGGAGACTAAAAAACTGTGATCTAGCTCACACTAACTCAGCTTAGAGGGAACACCCCCAAGCCCAAACACCCTTCCCCCTTCTCTCTTGAGAGAGGGGAGGGAGAGGGGCGGCGGCGGGCCCGATCTCCAAGCGGCAATGGCCAGTCCCATGGGGCCCATTCCTGCCAGCTGTGAGCACTTAAAGGGACCAGGAGTGCAGGTCAGTTGCGAGCACTTTAAGGGGCCCCTTTAAACGCTCGCAGCTGGTGGGGCCGGGCCCCGCGTGCCTGATCTCCAAGCGGCATTGCCTCTTGGAATTCAGGGGTGCAGCAGCGGCCGCCCCCTCCCCTCTTGCAAGATTTAAAGGGCCCACCCCTTGATCGGCGGCCTGTTAAATCTTGCAGGACATCAGGGAGAGGGGTGACCACTGACAATAGTCCTCAGGGGCGGGGCTTGGAGCGGGACATCCCCAATGTGACGTCATCCCATTGGGGATGCCCTGCCCCCTCTGGGAATGCCCCCCCCCAAGGTCCCCTGCCGGAAACAAAGACGGACCTGGCAACTCTAGCAGGCACTGATGGAATCTAGATGTATGG